TTTTTTTTTTTTTTTTTGGGGGGGGGGGGGTGCGCACTAACCAATATGGAAACCAGCATCAGGGGTCCAGGATATGAAGATATTATCTGTTTAAAAGAAATTGTAGCATTTGCAAACATGAAATGTCTGCATTCAAGTTCAAGAAGAAGTTCATTACTAATGTACCAATAGCAAAATGGTGATCTTGTTTTTCACTACCTGCTATGAAGTTAAGGTCCTTACACATTGTTAAATCCCAACTCTTTGACCCAGACATCGGCACGCTTGACCAACTGCAAGAGCACGTAAGGAATCAAAGCACGATATAACGCCTCGATAGAACGAGGATAAAATAGTTCAGACCAACAAAGGGTGCATCAAAAGTGAAAATTTTCGGTCCCATACTTTCTGTCGTATTTCGAGACCCAAGAAATTTCTTGAATCAAGATGTTTTTTTGCAAGCCACAGGAGAAATCTGCCACTACCTGGGAATAGGAATACTTGTTCTGTTAGATTCTTGATGGGAAATCAAAGGCATTAAATAGTCTCATGAATTCTTAAAAATGCAAGTAAAGATGTTATGTAAGTCATTACAGCATGCCTTGATCTGATAGATTATTTTCTTGCATGTGAATACAATACGATACTATAGGCAATTAGCATTTGAAACCTTAATATCATTACCAACAGAATTCTTTCCTGTGTAAATTCTCCGGAGCAACTTAGGCGACTACATTGTATTAAACTTAATGTTTACTAGCGAGCTCGTTGCTGCTATTGCTTGGAGCATTTTGCTCAACATGTAACGTATTGATTACATGATTAGAGCTGTTTTATTATGCATATCGAGTTAAATTTTGATTTATAGTGCACGGTAAAGACGATCGTTGAATGCAGTAATCAATATGATGCTTTAGGATAATATTTCCTTCTTCATGCTGATTCAATGAACATCACCAAACAGATTGAGGAAATGGTAGGATCTGTAAATTATGTTTTGAACTTGTTTTCAAAATCAAGCAGTAGCATCAAACACTTGTTCATGGCTATCCTCTATTTGGCCAAAGCAGGAGGATTATGGGTAAGATTCTAACTATAATATAAGCAATATCAGTCCTTTCAATATTTTGAAAGGGTTAAAATCTCCTAAACATGAGTTTAACCATTCAAATCAATTAATACACTTTTAAACACCATTTTTGTGAGATCCCACATCAGTTGGGGAGGAGAACGAATTATTCTTTATAAAGGCGTGGAACTTCTCCTTAACATACGCATTTTAAAAACTTTGAAGAGAAAGCCCAAAGAGGACAATATCTGCTACCGGTGGACTTGGGCTGTTACAAATGATATCAGAGCCAACACCAGGCGATGTGCCAACGAGGAGACTGAGCCTCGAAGGGGGGTGGACACAAGGTGGTGTGCCAGCAAGAACGCTGGGACCCGAAGGGGGAGTGGATTGTGAGGTCACACATTGGTTGGAAAGGAAAACAAAACACTTTTTTATAAGGGTGTAGAAACCTCTCCCTATGAGACGTGTTTTAAAAACCTTGAGGGGAAGCCGAAAGGGAAAGCCCAAAGAGGACAATATTTGCTATGAAAGGATTGGGCTATTACAATATTCATGTCATCAAAACTGATTTTCAACGACCACGGGTTGACTTAGAAATCAAAAGAAAGTTAAAAACGATTTTAGGAGCATGGATTCAGCCAAATGCTATACAGAATCAAATATTATCTCGTGGAAGCAAAGTATGTACTAAAAAAGTAGCTATTATGAAGAAAACAGATACGTAAGAGATATATAACAGGGAATGCATTAGCTCACTCACCACTTCCTATATCGACCATGAGGGGCAACGTGGGGTCCTTGAAAACTTCATCCCAGTTAGGTGCTGGTGTAGGGACCTGAAAGGTAAAAGAGAGAGAGTTTTTCCTTCAATTAAGCAACACTAAGCTAAAATTTCAAAGCCACAGCTCCTAAAATTTCTCATGAAACCAAACCCACTCTCAAAACTCAAATTACATACAGAGAAAGAAGAGCTAAGTGGATTAACATGCTGCCTGATTCTGACGTGACCTGAATCCTGCAATTCCCAAAACCAAGTCAAATGCACATCAATTCTAGTCACCACATTCAATTTTCAATTACTCGCCAACGATTTCAGAAATCAAGGGCAAAATTCACGAACAGAAAACAAACCTCGAAGATCTTGTGAGAGAGATTAAGGTCCGCATATTCCAACGCCACAAGTTCCGGACTACGGAGTTGTTGCCGCTCGCAAAGCTCGGCGGAAGAGCCCGATGGTAAACAGAAGGAATGAAGAAATGGTCGTTTTACTAACAGAGATAAGGTTCGGTTTGCTGTTGCGACGCTCGACGGCGCCGCTGCTGCTGCCGCCTTTGCAGCAGCAATGCAACGAAGCTGGGAGCAAGTGTGTAACTGGAAGCAAAGGGAAGAAGCCATTTTGCCGCGTCCGTTGGGCTCTCAAGAATGGCGCTGCCGCCTCTTCGAATTGGGTTATTTCTCTCTATCACCTTTTATTTTCCTTTTTTCTTTTCCATTTCGAATTTAATTTAAAATAATGATAAATTGCAAAATAAAAATCTCAAATTTAGCCATTTATTTAAAAAATATATTTAGTTTTGACCTTTTTATAATATTTTAAAATTATCCGAAAATTATGTTAAGATGACATGAAATAGTGTAATATTGACTTAGAAATGAAAATTAGGACATGGCTATACCATTTATGGTCACCGCTATACCCATTATAAGTCCAATTTATTCAAAATTCTAATAAATTTCTACTCTTATAAAATATTTATAAAAATTTAAAAATAGATATACATCTCCAAACCTATTTTCAACTAACAAAATTAAAACTAAAATCCAAAATAATAATAATAAATAATTCTTAAATTTAAAACTTCTAATTTTGATTATGACATTGTCACTAAAAAAAAATGATGAATTATACGTGAGCGGGAAAAAGCTAGAGGAAACTCTAGTGGAGGCCACAACAATACTGACATGCAAATCATTCGTCTGACTTAGATATAGGGGCGAAAAATTAATCAAACGGTCTAGTAGCCGGTCCCAAAAGGCAAGTCAATTAGATAAAATATCTACAACTACCGAAATCACTAAATCTAGTAACGAGTGGAACCACCCCTGCCTTCTATGAACCAATGGCCATGGAGGGTGAAGAAGATGGAAGCCATTAATTTAGGTGCTATCATTTTTACAAGAAAACTTACCAGACAACACACTGAAGTAAGCCTAAAAATGCCCCATCTACGAGAAGTTGAGCAAGTTTGCCTAAAAACACGGGAGCCAAAGAAGAGCCCAACAACCAGAAGGCTTGGGAATTTGCCGATCAGTTCTTCACAAAATGGCGAGTGAGCAATTTGCCAATCTCCAAGAAACCAACCTTTTCCCTTCCTTCAAATATGGCTTTAAGTTTATCGTCACAGTATATCTCTCTTTTGTTGGCAGGATTCTGCAGGCAAAGACAGTGAAATATCTCATTATGCCATATAGCTTGGCTCACAGAAACCCCCTAATCATCAACTAAAAATGCAATACAGACAACCCTAACCTACAATATTTCAAATGGAAGAAACTTGTACAATATATAATATCATCACGGTTATGCTTTTATAATGCGTCTACTAGAAAGAGGTGTCTGCACCGTTATAAGGAATGTTTTGTTTCCCTCTCCAACTGATGTGGGATCCCACAATCCACCTCCCTTGGAGCCAGCGTCCTCTTTGGCACACTGCCGATTGTCTGGTTTTGATACTATAACAGCCCAAGCCCAACACTAGCAGATATTGTCAATTATAGGTCGTTACATATCGCTGTCTACTAGAGGGAGGTTTCAACACCCTTATAAGGAATGCTTTGTTCCGCTTATGTGAGATCTCACAGAATGTAAAAAGGCATACAAAAAGCATTCATAACTAGCTACATGAAAGGACTCCAATCCTAAAGAATAGCATCTTCGAGCTTAAGTTAACCCGGGCTTAACTGTCGTGCCCACGAACACATCATAGAGATCAATACCAGATATTTCTGAAAGTAAATATCAATTTCAACAATTTATAAAGTAATACTATATAATCCCTTTATCAAGTGTTTCAACCTTTTAAGAGCCAAGTATTCTCGTAGAAAAAGAGGGGATTGTCAAGGTTTGGAAGCTTTGGATTAATCAGCTATCTATGACCATGGCCATGGGGGGGCTTCATTTTTCAGGAATTTGTTGATAGCTCCATAAGAATTTACATAGACGTATAAAGGCTTCATGTAATACTGTCAACAGTCTATCATGTAGTTATTCCAAGTCTAAACACCGAAATATTCTCAATTCTAAAGCTTCAAGAGATCTCGTGGATTTTGATTATTAACCCCAAAGAGTAGGAGAGAATAACAGAAGATTTCATTCAGAACAGCTTCATAGGTTCTATTTTAGCCTATTCGTGCTCCTATTTTTGTGAGATAACAGGTAGGTTAGATAGAGCAACAAAACATTAACATGTGGAAACCTCTAGCTAACAGACTCGTTTTAAAACCTTAAGGGGAAGATAAGTAAACACCCACAGAGGATAATATCTCCGCTAGTGGTGGTAGACTTGAGCTGTTACAAGTGGTACCAAAACCAAGCACTAGGCAGTGTGCCAGCCAGCGAGGACGCTGGCTCCCGAGGGAGGTGGGTTGTGAGATCTCACATCCCTTGATTTCTTAAGGGTGTGTGGTATCAGAGCCAAGCATCGGGTGGTGTGCCAGCGAGGACGCTTGCTCTCAAAAGAGGTAGATTGTGAGATCTCACATCCCTTGATTTCTTAAGGGTGTGTGGTATTAGAGCCAAGCATCGGGCGGTGTGTCAACGAGGATGCTCGCTCTCAAGAGAGGTGGATTATGAGATCTCACATCCCTTGATTTCTTAAGGGTGTATGGTATCAGAGACAAGCACCGAGCGGTGTGCCAGCGAGGAAGCTCGCTCCCAAGGGAGGTGGATCGTAAGATCTCACATCCCTTGATTTCTTAAGGGTGTGTGGTGTCAGCACCAAGCACTGGACACAAGGGGTGGATTGTGAGATTTCACGTCCCTTGTCCCTTCGACTGTTACAATTTTTCTAATACCCCTAAAAATTGCTAGTTCGTGAGTTATAATCTTCCTAAACTCAAAGAAATTGCTACAAACTCTTAAACGGAGACAAGCCAGACACCCATTTTTCATCAAGGTAAACGAGTTCCTAAATTTACTTGCAGCATGGGGAGAAGTAAAAAGGAAGCAGCGGAGACTAGTTTCGTTACTTGAAATCAGATTTCTCTTCTTATGGACTTCAGAATTAATAGATCGACCAAAGGATTCATCAAATATCGCGGACAACACCATTTCCCTAGAAACCACAACGGTTCTCGCCTACTCGACAATCTACGCGATCAAATCAGAGATAGCACTGGAAATAAGATAGAAACCTGAAGGTTATGGAGCTTGATATAGGACCAGATCTGCTTGACGGCGTCGGTGCGAGAAGCCTCCGATACACCCAAGAAATTGCCCAACGCTGGAGAAACCTGTAAGACTTTCAGAAACCCTGTCGATCGAGTCATTTCCCTTTTGACTTTCGGCTTCGGTGCGGCTGCAGCAGCAACATCGGACCTCGGAGGAGTCTTCTCCTTCGGCTCAGTGTTCGACTTCGAGGTCGTCCTCGATTTGACAGCGGCGGGGGGGACGGTAGCAGAAGATTTCGACGGAGCTAAGAGAGCTCTGCATCCTCTGAAAACCCTAATGCCATTGCTGAATCCAGACGACATTGTAGCTCGCTCGGATGTTGCAGTCGGATTTCGGCGGAGGGTTCAGTGAGGAGAAGAATCAGAGAGACTCGCGGGAAACGAAGGGACAATCCGCTCCAAAGTACGTAACATTTGGACAGACTTTGGCCCACTTGTCCTTTGGAGAGAATTTATCAATAATTTTAATGAAATTGTTTATGCTCAAATTTTTCTTCATTTTTTAAAATATGGAAGCAAGAAAAATAATAATAAAATATTAAAAAATAACTCAAACTCATAGCTAACTCACTATTTTAAAATGGGTATGTTAGGGAGAGATTTACCCACCTTTATAAAACATGTTTTATTTTCCTCTCCAATCAATTTGGGGGGTCAGCGTCCTCGCTAGCCATAGTTCGGTATTTTACTTCTATACCATTTGTAGCAGTCTTAACCCATGGCTAACAGGTATTGTTCGCTTTGACTCGTTACATGCCGTCATTACCTCACGATTTTAAAAGGCATATGTTAGAGAGAGATTTTCACACTTTTATAAGAAATGCTTATTCCCACTCTTTTGGCGATATGAGATCTCACACGACCTAAGTCATGCAAACTAGATTAAGTTTAATAGATTGTGCTTACTCCATGGAGTATCATTTGGTTTGATTCTATGTGCTAGTCTAAAGTCGACTTAGGATATGAGTGGAGAGTGGGCATATCGAGAATGATAAGTTCGTAATTAAAATAAATAAGAATATTAATTAATTTTGATCACCTTATTTTAGTTACATTCATAAAATTTAATTAGTTCCTAAATTGAAAATAATTAGGTAGCCAATTAAAAGAAATTATGTCCAAATTATATGGATTTAATTTGTTTAGTTCTATAATTTTCTCAATTAATTTTGGATATAAATTGAAAAATAAAAAGAGAGGGAAAGGATGGATAAAACGAAAATGGGGAGAAGGAAGAAGGCGGCGGCGGGAAGCTCTGAGCCCGAGACAGTCACGCTTCCAATCTCTGGTATCACTGATTCCACTCGCGTTAATGGTGATTCAGGTTTTTCCATCTTTAACGACAACGGAAATGAACCTTTAATTGTATCTCCATATCCAGCATCTTCAGTTCAGAACAGTCCTGTGCAAACTCCACCGGTCACCGATGAAGCCGGAGAAGTCAACGGAGGTGACGACGGAGATCACGGAGAAGTTAATGCTGCAGGTGATGTTTCTGCTTCTGAGCAAACGAAGCTCGATGAAGGCTTCTTCGAAGTCGAATCTATTCTGCGGAAAAGAGTTAGTAAGGTATTTTTTCCTCTTCCGCCATTGTAGCTACTTGTTTTATTTTTCTTAGAACTTGTAAGAATAAGCTTATTCTATCGGTTTTTGTGTCTATGGAACGATACTAGAATGTGAGTTTCTTTCCGTGTTTATCGATTTCTTTTTGTCGTTACACTGAATGTGCACTATTATGGTATTGTACTCTCGGATTTGTTGTTCAGGCGACAGTGTTTCCGAATCTCCTTTATTAATCTGATTTTAGTTTTACTTTTTTCGAATTCACAGGGACAGCTTCAGTACCTCGTCAAATGGTATGTACGATTTTGGTGTTTTTTATTTTCGTCTATCATTCAGTTCTGATCTCTGTGATTTTTTCTTGATATACGTGAAAGTAGCTTCGACAATTTGGTTTTGACAGGCATGGCTGGCCAAAGACAGCCAATACATGGGAACCCTCGGACAATCTCCAATCGTGCTCTGAACTTATTGATGAATTTGAAGAAAGGTTCTCGTAACTATGTTTCATATTGTCAAATGATTGCAGCAAATGTATGACAATGGAAGTGTAATTCGAACGTCACATCCTAATGCCGCGTTCATCTTTTGTAGCTCGCGATCAGGAAAGCAGCGGATGTTAAATAAAAGCTCTGCCTTATTTAGTTAGGTTTGTAAAAACATATGAGTTCACGCGAATGGAGGAGCGTGATTCTAGGGGCCATTGTTTTGGCAGAGTGGCGGAGTCTTCGTCCACTTATTCTATTTGTGTATATTTGGTTTTTCTATTTTTGTAATTAGATTTATTATTTAAACCATTCAACGGATGTAAAATAAATATATTGAGTCTTCAGCATTACCAGCGAATCTCTCTCTCTCTCTCCTTTTACTTCCGCTAATTTTTCCTTCGAAGAAACCTTCGGCCAATTTTTTTTTCGTCGACATCCGATTTGCCAGAGTCAACAAGTGGTATCAGAGCCTGGTTGAAGCGATCGGTAGTATACCATCACAGAGGAGCCAACCTATCAACAAACAAGTTGAATAGCTCAAGTGGTTAGAGCGTCGATCTAATAACACACAGGTCTTAGGTTCGAGTAGAAGAAAATGCAAAGCACAAAAATAAATACATCGTGGGGCCCATCTCAAGCAGGCTCGCTCACTCCTCCACGCCGCCAAGTGCCGGCATCTCCATCACCACCACGAAGAGGCCGTGGCCGACATCGTGATGACGGGCGTCGAGTAGTTGTTGAGCGAGTGATCAGAGAGACAACGACCGCCGTCGTTCAGTACCCGATGTTGACAAGGTCCAACTACAACGAGTGGGCCTTGTTGATGCGTGTTAACCTACAGGCGCAAGGGTTATGGCACGCTGTCGAGCCAGAGGAAGGAGAAACAATCGAGTACCGGGAGGATCGGCTGGCGTTCGCCGCCATATTACGATCTGTGCCCCCAGAGATGCTGGCTTCTCTTTCCACCAAGCGCACCGCACAATCGGCCTGGGAGGGAATCCAACATCGAGCAACTGCGAAAGGAGCTCTCGGAGATTCGCTTTAAGGACGGCGAATCCGTCGATGATTTTTCAATGCGGATCACGGGGCTCGCCAACAGCATCACCACCCTCGGTGGTGGCATCAGCGAGACAGAAATCGTGAAGAAGATGTTGCAGGTCGTTCCCGATCACCTCGAGCAAGTCGCGATTTCAATCGAGACATTGCTTGACGTGAACGACCTAACAGTGGAAGAGGTGACCGGAAGACTACGTAACGTCGAGCAGCGGAAGAAGAATATCACTTCAGCTGTTGACAAGGAGGGCCGTCTACTCCTCACGGAGGAGGAATGGCTTGCACGCCTAAAGCTCCGCGACAACACCGGCGAGAGCAACGGGTCCTCCTCCAGCCGCAAAGGCGGTAAGAAGCCATGGATGTCCCACGGGCGCACGCGCGGGAAAGATGAGAATCAAAAGAAGGAGTCGACCAATGGCAGGCCGATCCATTGCTCGAACTGTGGGAAGAGAGGACACCTGGGCAGAAATTGCTGGAGCAAGCTGAGGAATAAGGAGAAGGCCGAAAAGGCCCAGGCCCATGTGGCTCAATCCGAGGAGGACGAGCCAGCTCTCTTCATGGTAACCGCATGCGTCCCCAATTTCGATTCCAACTCCGACGACGATCTTGAACCCAAGAAAGAGCTCCAGTTGGGCGTAGCAAAGCTGGCACCAACTGGGGAGCCAATTCAACTGGAGGAGGAGCGAGTGTTCGCTCAGATCGGCGAAAGGGACGAGCAACACGAGCACCAGCAATGGATCCTTGACACAGGGGCAACAAACCATATGACCGGGGCTAGATCTGCGTTCTCCGAGCTCGACTCGGGGATCCGTGGGACGGTGAAATTCGGCGACGGCTCCGTCGTCGAGATCGAAGGGCGCGGCACCATCCTGTTCGTCAGTAAGGGAGGCGAGCATCGCAAGCTGACCGACGTCTACTTCATCCCGAGGCTCAAGGCTAACCTTGTGAGCCTGGGTCAGCTCGATGAGACAGGCTGCTTCATTTCCATCGAGCGCGGACTACTGAAAATCTGCGATAATCAACGACGGCTGCTCACGCAGGCAAGACGAACCACAAACCGTCTTTACATCCTGGAGTTAGAGATAGACCAACCCGTTAGCCTCTCGGCCAAGACCGAAGAGGTATCTTGGAGGTGGCACGCAAGGTACGGACACTTAAACTTTCCTGCCCTAGAAAAGTTACAGAAGAAGGAGTTGGTGCACGGCTTGCCAGAAATCAAAGGCGTGAACAAGCTGTGCGACGGGTGCCTCATCGGCAAACAGAAGCGCACACCCTTTCCGTCTCGAACAGCCTACCGAGCCGATGAGCCATTGGAGCTTGTACACGGCGATATTTGCGGGCCCATCAAGCCGGCGACCCCAGGCGGTAAGAGTCTCTTCCTCCTGTTAGTCGATGACAAAAGCCGCTTCATGTGGCTGACTTTGCTGCAAGCGAAAAGTGAGGCGGCAGAGGCGGTTAAGCGCATTAAAGCGCGAGCGGAGGCCGAATGTGAGAAGAAGATGCGAGTGCTGCGCACAGACCGTGGCGGAGAATTCACCTCGGCAAGTTTCAGTAAGTACTGCGATGAGGTCGGCATACAACGGCACCTAACGGCGCCCTACTCCCCCCAACAGAACGGAGTGGTAGAGCGCCGAAATCAGACCATTGTCGGGACAGCGAGGTCATTGTTGGTGACGGCCGGGATGCCTGGGAGATTCTGGGGAGAGGCAGTAATGACGGCTGTCTATCTCCTCAATCGGTCACCAACCCGAAGCCTCGACGGGAAGACGCCATATGAAGCCTGGTACAACAAAAAACCAACAGTACACCATTTTCGCGTGTTCGGCTGCGTCGCATACATGAAGGTAACACGTCCCCATCTCGCCAAGCTCGATCCCAGGGGGCTGAAGGTCGTCTTCATCGGCTACGAACCCGGGAGCAAGGCGTACAGACTCTATGATCCTGTGGGGGGGCGAGCTCACGTGTCTCGCGACGTCGTCTTCGACGAAAGCACCTTCTGGCAGTGGAATGACGTGATCGAGGCAGACCGTAATCCAAATCAATTCACGGTGGAGTACCTCGTCACTGAGCCTGAAGAAGGAGGAGCCCAGCATCAGGAGACGTCACCGCCGCCAGCAGGTGCACCACATGAACCAGTGGAATTCGCAACACCACGGACTGCGGATTCGACGCTGGATGCCGATCACGATACTGATCTGGAGGCTAGGTACCGGAGGATGGATGACCTAGTGGGAGGAGGTGAACCACCTGGACTAGCAGCGCGCGAGCTCGAGGAAGTGGCCGAACTACATGCCGTCAGTGCAGATGAACCAAACACCTTCGCCGAAGCAGAAAAGAACCCGTGCTGGCGGAAGGCAATGCAGGAGGAGATGACATCCATCACTGAGAACCAGACGTGGAGTCTGGAGGATATGCCACCGGGACACCGAGCCATAGGGCTCAAATGGGTCTTCAAACTGAAGCGCAACGAAAAAGGAGAAGTTGTGAAGCACAAGGCTCGTCTGGTGGCGAAGGGCTACGTCCAGAAGCAAGGAGTGGATTTCGAAGAGGTATTTGCGCCAGTAGCAAGGTTAGAATCCGTTCGTTTCCTGCTGGCAATTGCAGCACATCACTCTTGGGAGGTTCACCATATGGACGTAAAGTCTGCTTTCCTTAACGGAGAGTTGAAGGAGACCGTCTATGTTCGACAACCACCTGGCTTCCTGGATAACGACAACCCTAATAAGGTACTGCGCCTGCACAAAGCACTCTACGGGCTTCGACAAGCCCCACGAGCCTGGAACGCGAAGCTCGACAGTACCCTACTGTCACTGAATTTCAAACGTTGTGCCTCTGAGCATGGCATGTACACGTACGGCCACGGCAAAAAGCGACTGATCGTGGGAGTGTACGTCGACGACCTCATAATCACTGGAGGCGACGTGGGAGTCCTCGGAAGGTTCAAGAAGGAGATGTCGAAAAACTTCGAGATGAGCGATCTCGGTGTGCTCAGCTACTACCTCGGCATCGAAGTGCAACAGAACTCTTCCGGCATCTCCATCTGCCAAAGTGCATACGCGAGAAAGCTGCTGGACACAACTGGGCTTATGGACAGTAATCCTACCAGGACGCCAATGGAGGCCCGACTTCAACTAAGGAAGGCCGGCACTACGACGACAGTCGACTCCACCAATTACCGCAGCATTGTCGGGAGTCTGCGCTATCTGGTAAACTCTCGTCCTGATCTTGCTTATTCTGTTGGATATGTGAGTAGGTTTATGGAAGCACCTAGGGAGGAGCATCTAGTGGCTGTCAAGCGCATCCTGCGCTATGTAGCCGGAACCAGAGACTGGGGCGTAAGATACTGCGCTGGGAGCGAAAAGGAGAAACTCAAACTGGTCGGCTACAGCGATAGTGACATGGCCGGTGACGTTGATGATCGTAAGAGCACCAGCGGAATGATCTACTTTCTCTCAGGCGGCGCGATCTGCTGGCAATCAACAAAACAGAAGGTAGTTGCTTTGTCTTCCTGCGAAGCAGAATACATCGCCGCTTCGATGGCAGCAACTCAAGGGATCTGGCTTGCACGACTAATGGAAGAAATCATCGGGAGAGAAAGCGATCCACCAATGCTATACATAGACAACAAAGCTACGATCTCCCTGATCAAAAATCCAGTTTTGCACGACCGGAGCAAGCACATAGAAATCAGATTCCACTACATTCGAGAATGTGCAGATCGAGGGCTCATCAAAATTGATTTCATCCGAACAGAGGAACAACTTGGAGACATTTTCACCAAATCCCTGGCGCGGGTGAAATTTGAAGAACTACGCTCAAAGATCGGAGTTCAAATAATAAGGTACAGCTTTTAGGAGGAGATTGTTAAATAAAAGCTCTGCCTTATTTAGTTAGGTTTGTAAAAACATATGAGTTCACGCGAATGGAGGAGCGTGATTCTAGGGGCCATTGTTTTGGCAGAGTGGCGGAGTCTTCGTCCACTTATTCTATTTGTGTATATTTGGTTTTTCTATTTTTGTAATTAGATTTATTATTTAAACCATTCAACGGATGTAAAATAAATATATTGAGTCTTCAGCATTACCAGCGAATCTCTCTCTCTCTCTCCTTTTACTTCCGCTAATTTTTCCTTCGAAGAAACCTTCGGCCAATTTTTTTTTCGTCGACATCCGATTTGCCAGAGTCAACAGCGGAAGCGCAAGCGCAAGGTTGGAGGCGTCGAAAATCAATATCGTGAGAAAAAACGGCATCACAATTTCGCTACAAATAATGTCACGGATATAGTTATTAGTACTGTGGATGATTGTCTATCGGCCGCTCCTTTGAACATAAAAATCCGTTGTGATCTTCCCACTCCTCAAGCACCTATAGATGTTGAAAATGGTCATATGGAAGGGACATTTTATGGAAGTAGAAAGAGAGACGATCATGATCTGAAACTCAGTGAGCTCAAGGCAGCAATGTCTGCCAATATGGTTGATTCTGATAAAAAAGCAGTGGCTTCTAACGATCTCGTCCTTGTTTATGATGTTTCCAAGGTCGATTGCGTGGTGGGTTTCAATCAGGAAAGTCACTCCATTGGAGCCAAGAAAAGGAAATCTAGTAGGGTGAAAAGGTTCACTAAGGATGCAGCCTTGTCTGAAGACTCCGAACAAGGATTAAAAAGAAATGCATCGACTCTAAGCATTGAGCCGACTGATCGAAACGAAGAATTGGAACTCGAGAATCCTAGTTTGTCAGGCCACTCCAGAAATGTGTCTGATATCACAAGGATTATCAAGCCTGTTGGCTATTCAGTTTCAGTATCAAATGGCATTCCAGATGTGACCGTAACCTTCTTGGTTCTGAGGTTTGTTGTACAACACTAACTACTCTTCCTTTGTATTGTCGAATATTACTCTTAGGCGTAAACCTTAACTCAGTTTTAAGATTTTAAACGCGTCTACTAGGGAGAGGTTTTTACACTGTCGTTCCCTCCCTCCAACCAATGTAGGATCTCACAATATAAAAAATAAAAAATTTGGACAATTTCTCGATTTGTGCTGTCATCCTTGCACAGGGATCATGCTAATCTTCTATGTATTGTTCCAATTTTATCGGATGTCCCAGGATGTAGAAACCTCTTTTTAGTAGACGCGTTTTAAAAGCTGACGACGATATGTAACGAGCCAAAGCGAACAATGTCTGTTAGCGATGAGTTTAGGCTGTTCCATATGGTATTAGAGCAGCACACCAGGTGGTGTGCCAACGAGAATGCTGAACCTCCAAGGGAGATGGATTGTGAGATCTCACATCGGTTGGAGAGGGGAACGAACCATTTCTTATAAGGGTGTGGAAACCTCTCCCTAATAGGCGCGTTTTAAAACCTTGAGAAAAAATCGAGGAGCTATTCTTCATCTCTCCTCCATTGGCCTATGCATTTTATTGACGCTACCATAAAAACAGCCTAAGTTACAAGCTCTGGCCATCATTTCGTTTAAAACAATTGGATCTTTTTCTTCTTTGCATGCAGGTGTGATGGAAAAGAAGTGACCGTGAGTAACAAATTTCTTAAGACTAACAATCCACCTCTGGTAATTGATCATATTTTAGCTTACATATTTATCTTATTTGGTTTTTGACCTGCTCGCATTTACAACTACTCTCTCACTGCAGTTGATTAACTTCTATGAGCAACATCTCCGATATAATCCAACATCATGAAAGAGCTGCATGTGTTTCTGGCCTCCACCATCATCTTCATGGTTTGCAAGCTGTAATTTTGTAGCTTTAGGACATTCAATGGAATACAATATGAATTCTTCGTAATTTTTTCAAGAAATCTGTTAAGAGGAGATCAAACCATTTTCTTGCTCCGTTTTCTTTCTGTATGAGGACGAATGGGAAAGTCATATTCTTTTTGGATATATTGAAGATCCAATAAAAAATTCTAAGGGCTTGGTAAATCGAATTATGAACATCTATGCCCCCTGTGCTTGTATTTTAGAGGTATACTAAATAATCTTTTACTAAAATTGTTATCCATTTCTCTTACCATCCTTCCAATGGGAAGGTTCTACAGGTTTTTTTCACTGTTGCAATTCACTATTCAACTGATCTTATCTGCTATCCTGATGCTGAGTATTCAAAGAGCTACAGGATGATGCTTCTTTATCAGGTTTCTTACTGAATTTTCTTGGTTCCATTTATTTATTTCATTATGCCAAATAGAAAATAGTACAGATATTGGACGCTTTTGGACTTCCAACTGCTCCCTCAAATGAAAAATCTTAATCCCTTGGAATTTTGCATATTATTTATCCGCAGGTCACCAATGTTATCATTCAATACATTTATATTTAACTAAATGTCATTATCAAACTTCATTGAATATTAACAAAAAATGTAAAACCTTTGGATCCCTTCTTATGTTTCTTTATTATTAGTCCGTCCAATAAGTAGGTGTTAGCTCTCCACAATTGTATTGTCCAATTTGAACATAAACTCTCATGGTTTTACTTTTGGTTTCTCCGGACTCTTAGACCAATGAAAATATAGTGTTCCTTACCTATAAACTCTTGATAAACTCTTCATTAGTCGATGTGGACTCCTCCCCCAACAATCCTCAACAAGACAACCCACAAAGATAGAATAGCGCCTTTCTATTGCTCTCAATTGTTTAAGTGATTAGTTACTCATGATACAGTTTGCTCAGGTTGGCATCCAATCCTACCTATATTGTCGCTAAGACTTCATAAAAAAAACTGAAATTCTGTAGCCCTCGTCATTGATCAACTAATATTTTGACCTTCGTACAAGCATTAAAAGGGTCAAGCTTATCCAAAGTCATTTCCTATCACCAAAAAATAGCCTTTCTTCCTCAATATCACTCATCTGCAGCACAGATTCTGATTCAGAGAGAGCTAATGGGACATAGTGCAGGGCCATCACCTATTGTACCTTGCATCATAGTTGGATTTCTGGGGATGATAATATTTTGGCCAACTCTTCTATCCATCTGGGAGAGTGTAGAGTCTCTACTTGAACTGGGTACTTGGGTTGCAGTAATTCTTCTTTTCCTCTTACTACTTGTACATTTGCTTTCTTTTTTCTTTCCTGTTCTTCATGTTTCGTCCACTTTTGCAGTTCACCATAACAGCACCCCTGGCTATGATTCTGATGGATTCGGTTTCGGGTCAGGAACGTTGTTTCTAGGTCTTCTCTTCCTTGTCCTCTATAATTTGTTGTAATCTTGGTCTAGTATTAGCAAACTGTAGTTACTTCTTAGCACTTCCACCCCTGCTTTCGTATACATATGCAGTAGCCTTTCCAAAAAGTCAAAAGTTTAAATCCATCCTCCATGTGTCTATGTGTCGATTAAAACGAAACTGTTCATGTTCATTTTTAGCTATATAATATGAATATGAATGTTAACTTGCCTGACTCAATTAGTTTATACATATATTCAGTTAAATGCTTGAGTACTCCCACCCACATGTTAAACTCTAACAAAACATCTATTTTGTTAATGGATTGTGTTTCTGATATATGATCTATAAGTCGTATAAGTCGTACTAACTTGAGTATAGGTGTATATTCTCGTCAAAGGTTCGTGTGCTCTCACCCAAATATTGAATTCCGAAGAAAAATTCATTTCGTTAATTGACTGTTCTTTTCATTGCATTTGAACATATCCAGTTGTGAATCTCTATTCTCCACCATGTTTTCGAGCTATGAGATTCCAAACGATCCTATCAAGAACACTAACCTCTTTAGTTGCTCAATTTGAAGTTGTATTTCATGATTAACATGAAACTTGCTCATTTGGATTGAGCATTCCATCAAGCTCTAGATGTTGAATTCAATAAGCCAAGGGCAATGCAAGGCATCTGATCTCAGTTCTGGACGCAATAAGAATAAAAGATAGGGCCATAGTTTATACTCTGCTTTGGAGCTGGGTGAAATCCTTGAAGCTGAAATCTATCTGATTTTGATTTGAAAAGAATGGGGTTTGGTAGGATTTGGATTTTACATTTAAATGGACGTAATTCCAATTTTACTGGAGAAAAAATAGGAATTCCAGTTTAATTAATTAATTAATTGTTTTGTTATTTTCAATAAATCTTATTCCACGTTGTAATTTAAGCAGATTTTAAGGTTCATTTCAGAATAGCTATAATATTATATTACCACCAAATCATGATAATTGAGATTAAACCAACTAATTCATAAAAAATAAAAAATAAAAACAGAAATAATTCAAACTATAATATTTCATTTATTTAAAATACTTGCATTGAAATACAAATACATACTATATATATATATATATATATATATATATATATTATATACCGTAATTTCTCAAACCCAACCATTTTAGATCGGTTTCCCAGAGACGAAAAGAAAAAAAAAAACTTAGTGAGAAACTTGCTTTATCGAAATTTAATTTTACAAAAAACGATTATTAAGATTTAAGAATACATACAAAATAGTAAGCAGAGTAAAACGGCAGCGTTTCTAGAGGCCGGGGGTGAAAGGCACGCCGGTACTCGGTAACCAAGATCCACCGGCGATGAAATTCCCGACGGTGAACTTGGAGGCCTCCGTCGCACTGGTAATTACACGATAGCCCTTCCATTTCACTCGATTCGCCGTCGAAGCTCCCGGACCGGTATTCATATATTCGCCGTAATAGAGTGTATTTAGGGCAAAATTACCGCTCCATTCTAGCCACCCGGCCGGACTGATGAATCCGCCGATCGACGATTTCATAATAACTGTCCGCGAGTACTGCCTCCACGGCCGACCTAAATAGGCTTTGACGCCGCTGAGGCCGCCGGCGGACGTGATTCGGGAATTGTGGATCGAGATTCCGGTGTTCTGATTCGGATCTGATCGGCCCTGGGCGGTGACGGTGATAGTCCTATTCGGAGGATCGCGGGCGATGATGTTGCAATCTTGGAGTACGACGGCGGCGTTGCCGAAGATGAAATCGACAGTGCCGTAAATGTCGCATTGTTTGTAGAATTGGCGTTCGGCGTAGACGTAGAGAGTATCTTGATAGCCTTCGAAGCCACATCGATAGAAGACCGACAGGTCAGACCCCGATCGGAGCGCCACCGCCTGGTGGTTCGCCGCTCCGGCAGTGTTTCTGAAGGTTATGTCTCGCGCGATAAAGCCGTCTCCATCAACGGCTGCGATATCACCGACACCCACAATTAATTAATACAATAAAACAAATTTAAATAAATAAATAAACAAAAAGCATACCCTTAATTAAAAGATGATCATAGTATTGGTTCCTAAATTCAAAATTATTATATTTAAGTTATTTAACTTTTAAATATGTTTTTTATTTATTTATTGAAATCTATTTTGTGTAATTTAAAATATTTTATTTATTGAACACATAAAATTTAAAAATTTGTTAAATAATTTACCTAGAAAAAAAAATAGTTAAAAAATAATGTAAATAGCAAGGTAAAATTTCTAACTATACCCATTAATTAGTAATTAATAAATAAATTAATATAAAACATTTTTTATATCTCAATTTCTATATAATTAATAAAATAAAAATTATATTTATAAAAAAAAAGAACAATGAATTTCTGGGGTCAGCATCCTATTTAATACTATTCATGTGACTTAAAGAACATGATAACAAATAAAAAAAAGACAAATTATAAAATATATTTATTTTTTAAATGTTAGCTAATAATTCAAATAAAAAAAAAACAAAAAAATTGGAAATTAATAATTAACATAAATATTATTTTAGATGAAAACTACAAACAAACCACCATCAAAATCTCTAAAAAAAAAAGCCCAATTTCACACATCACAAAAGTTGTAAAGCTCTAAATTAATTTAATTTGGTCACTTTCTTACTTTATAAGCAAAATTCAACTAATTTAATAATTATTTTTAATATATAGTAAAATAATTAGAAAACTTTGGTCCCATTAAATTACCCACCAACCAACCAAGCTACTTAATATTCGTCGTATCATATAATTCTATAACATGCCACATTAAACTCCAATCCAAATATGGCCCTATTTCCCTTTAATTTCCCACTAATAATAATTCACACAAAATGCCACGTCAAATATTTATATATTTTTTTTACACAATTTTAATTTCTATAAATCCCAAGCCATATTTTTGGAAATCCATTATGGGTTCACTTTTTATATTAATTCTACCTTACTATAAAAAAAAATAAAAAAAAACATTATTTTTTGCTACATATTATTCAATTATTTGAGTAACAACAAATAAAATTAAATCATATTATAAATTTTTTTATTTTCCATTGTTAATAATATAATGTAGAAAAATAGTACTAAAAATAGAGACTTTGTAGGCTTTATTTATTTATTTTTAAACTAAAAGTACTATGTTATTTGACTTAATTATTAATTACCATTAAATATAGGGATTAAAGTCACAAGAGTTCAACCAAAATTAATTATATTATAGGGATAATTCAACTTTATTATTAAGTAGCAAGTAAATTAGTCAGCAAAATTTACCAATTTACCCAAAATAGGTTTCTTGATTTTCTATTGTTCGCCGATTAACGTTAAATTATAATAAATTAGCAATAAATTGACATTGTAATTAAAGAATAAAGTCAGCTTAAGTGACTTTATCAAAGGCTTTAGGTACATTTAACCCTTTTTTGTTTAATTATTATGAAAAAAAAATTAAATCCAAAAATATATTTTGCTTAAATAATTAAACTCGTTTTTCAATTAAATTATAATTAATATTTCTATAAAATTCTAAAATTGGTTATGCAAAAAAGTGCCAATTTAAATTAATAACTTTATAAGGAGAGATAGAGACTTACCCACGGTGGCGGATCTAAACGTGGTGAAACCGCCGCCGACACTTCTACTTCCGGTGATGACAGTTTTTCCGATTCCGTCGCCGATCAACATAACATTCTTAGCATTAATCTCAAGGTTTTCACTATAAACCCCCGCCTTCACATATATCACAAATCTCCCGCCGCCTTTCGCAGCGGCGACCGCCTCCTTCACCGTCTTAAAATTCCCAGACCCGTCCTTCGCCACCACCACATCCGCACTCGGAGACCCCGACTGCAGCAGTTTCCGGTCACCGGGCCTAACCCACGTCGGAAACCCCTCCGCCATAGTTGGTTCAAACCCCTGGGGTGACGCCGGCTTATTCACAGACAACCCATCGCTAATGAGCTTGGAAACATTATTGCTCGTCAAAGGGTAGCCGAAAGCCGAAACCCCGAGCTCCTGGAGGCTGTTCCGGCAGGTGTCGAGGGCGGTGAGGGAGGCGCTGAGCCAAGTCTGGGCGTCGACGGAGGAGCAGCGGTCGGCGGAGCGGTTGAGGCGGGAGATGATTTGATTGTAAAGGTCAACGCAGTCGGTCAATGCTGATTTTTCTCGGCCATTGTGGCATTTTGGGCCGAGAGACAGCGCGGTTTTTTGGGCCGAAACGGCGCCGTCGAGTGCCGTTTCGACCAAGAGTTTAAGGAAATGGGATTTAGTGGCGATTGGGGAATGTTTGGCGGTGGCTTTGGCTTTGATAAATTGCTCGCATGGAGCTGGATATGGTGTTTGGCTACACCAATTTTTCAATTCTTTTTCGGAATAACCAAAAATGGCGCCCGGAAAATTAAGAACAACAAGAACAATAAGGATCCAACGGCTATGAATCACTGCCATTTTTTCTTTATTTTGATTTAGCTGTGGGATTTTTGGAGCTTTGGATTCCCTTTTAATAGGAAAACAGAGACAAATAAAGTTAGTAATTTCCAATTATTTTAATTATAAATCAATTTTGTCGCTTTCCTCCTTACTTATTACTCATTTAAACCCGATTCAGGTTCGGGTTTGCCACATTTTAAGAAAAGTCATATGTCTGAGTAATATGCAACCACATGTACGAGATGTCACGTACGTTATCTTAAGTAAGTTTCTGTGGTTAAAATAAGGAGTAAAAAATCATTTATAGAATAATAAATAATTTATAAAATATTGTTTATAGTTAATTAAGGACTAAGCACAGAATGTTTAAATGTTAAAAAATAATAATTATAATAATTAAGAAATATTGTGTTTAAAAAATTATATATTTTAAAGTTAAATTGAGTATATTTATTGGCTGCTGTAGCGCTGGTTTAATAAATATCCATATCATTTGATTTGACACTCCGATGGGAATTGAAGTTGTGGCTAGTGGTTTCAACTTGCTGCTTTATATTTATAATTAATTTACTTTAATTATGAATAATAAATTACTTTTAAAGTTCGAGTTTTTAATTTTATGAAAAATATAAACGTGAAAGCATTAAAATATTTAAACTAAACAAATGGTTATTTTACCTTATTAAAGTATTATATTATAAAAATTTATTAGTGAATAATACATTTATTTATTTATTTATTTTCAGGCTTTGGTATTCTAATTGAATTCCTCTTCATGTGTTGCATGCATGGAAATTGCAGCCTTTATGACGAGTTGTCAATTGCAAAGACTTTATTACCCAATATATATATATATATATATATTTTATTAGTTTAACAATAATAATAATAATAATAATAATAATAATAATAATAATAGAACATAAAGGAGGAATATTCAACTATGAAAAAGAGAAAAATCATGCTTTTGTATTGCTTTCTTTAGGTTGGGTAGGTTTATAGATATAGATCCATAGGAGATTAAAAGAGGTTTCTTGGAAATATAATACTAGGGGCATCGGGTAACGGGTAATGGGTACGACTCGAATCTAAAAAATCGGCGTTAATTTGTTTGGATTTTTTTAAAGATTTTTTAACGAGTATTCATTTCACTACCTATTTAAATTTAGAGTCGTTCGATGGAGAAAAAATGAAAAATTTAAATTAAATGTACTAATAATTAGTTTAGTTTTATTTTGTTTATGAGTTTGAGTGCATTGATTTATAGATAGGTATAGGTTCGTACTTTCGATTAAGTCTTAACTCAAAATTTGTAATTTTATTTAAATAAAAATTTTAAAAATTATAGATTGGTTTTTAGGTAATTTTTCAATTTATTCATATTTAAAATTGAATTTGATAAATGTGCTAAATAGCTTAAATTTCATGTAATAACTTTTGGTTTTAATTTTTTTTTTTTATATCGTTATTATAAATTGGATTATATTTGTATTGATTTGAAATATTTTGTTTTATTTCATTTTTTTAAAATTTTTTCCCGTCAAAGTCAAGGAAATTATAATTACCTTGACTTGCCAAGTATACAAATTTGAAACATGATGCAAAGAGATTGAATTTAATGCTTTATTTGGAAATTTTAATGTAATTAAGAAATTTCAAATAAAAATAATTTAAAATAGGGGTTTATTTTTCTACCGATTACATTTCAACTAACACGGTCTCGTATTTTATATTAAAAACAAATTGTTCGAGACGAGTTTGGTGTCGAAGACGGACTGGGGATTCCCTTCTCAAATTATGATTTTTTTTGATTTGATCATAAGACCTCGACCCGTGGAAAATTTTTCCATTCCTACGTACATTGGGCTCTCCAACCGAAACAAAATTAAAAGTTTTAAATAATAAAATTTTGCTAATAAAGAAATTAATATTGTTAAATTTTATTACATATAAATAGATTTTAAGAAATGATATTATATATCACATCATAAAATTCAAATATCAAATATTTACAAGTCGCACCTCATCACTAATATTTATTACAAACGTTAAATATTCCTAATTTTTGTAACAATCTTAAAAGTAATGTAGCGTTTCAGCTGAGAACTCTATTTTAGGCTATTCGAACTGACTTGACAAAAAACGATCAAACTGGATCATTTTTTTTTTTTTTAAAATTCAATCCGACTCAAACCGATTAAAATTATTTGGGTTATCGGGTCATATAAACACGCCCAAGTATAAAATGTACGTGAAATCGGGACCCATTTAAAAGAAAAATAAAAAAAGATTTAACTTTATTTAACATTAAAATAAATAAACACACTCACATGACATCAATTAATGAGGATTGAAAAGGGGGAATTAGGATAAACTAATGCATGTGATGGCTAAAGAGGCAGTTAGGCCATTATTTCATTTTTGGGAGAGAGATAAGCTTGTGTCCATTATTATAAGATTGAACCAAATTATTCAAGCCTACTTAATAGAATTAAAGTTGCTATTTATGGACCATTTTTTAGAACTCTAAGGAACAAAATAAATAAAAATTATGAAAATTACATCATACCAACCATACCATATCTCCATCGATACCGACCGAAAAAAAAAAATCATAAGAATTTATACTCAAAATGGATAATATCATATTACGGTAGAAGATCGTTGTTTTTATATATTTTTTTTTTAATTTAAAAACGTTTTAAGATATGAGTTTGAATTTTTTTTTTTTTTAAGAACTAAACGTATGATTTAAATCATAATGAAATGTGATAAAAAATTACGCATAATATTAATTCTCAAAATTATATATATATATATATATATATATATATATTTATTTATTTATTTATTTATTTGAGATCGTGAAAAATATAATTTTTATAGTGTTTGAAAATTTAGAAGGTAAATAAAAAAATGTGATAATTTATAAATTTTTTAATGTGAAATTTTTGGCATAAAATCTTTTAAATTTTGGATTTTATGTTCCAAAGTTTACTAGAAATTACTCCATTATTATTATTATTATTATTATTATTATTATTATTATTATTATTTTGAAAGAAAAAAATATATTTTTCCTAGGTCCTTTGTAAAGCTCTTTTGCTTTTAAGTTTTTTCTTATTATTTAAAATCATATTTAAATTCTAAACTAAAATTCAGAAACAAAATTAAGTTTTAAAACTATTTGTTTTCTTTACTTCTTAGACTTTGTTTTTTTTTAAATAAATAATACAACAATAAAATTATTTTATTTAATGTGATAATGTTTATAAACTTAATTTAAACAAATTAAAAAAATAAAAAAGTTTTAGAGTACAAGAAAATCTGGACTAATAATCTTTGAACCGTTTATATTTTTTTATTATAAAGTTATTATCTTAATATTTATCACGTTTTTAAAACGCAATCTTGAAGTTGAAGATATGATCGAAGGATAGTTTCAAATTTAAAATTTGCAGTCAATTTCTTTTAATTTTTATAATATAATTATTTTTTATCGTACATTTTATGTCAAATTAATTACTTAGACAACTATTAATACATCATGTCATACCGACACAGTAGATGTCAAATTTAATTTGACTGAAAATTAGGTTTAAACGCGATAGATACATTGAAGTATCTACCTATTTAATATAAGTGACGTATTATTTTAAGTACTAATATGGTACTGACACTACACTTGTGGCGATTGCTGCCTTCACATTATCCTTAGTCTTCTTGCAACTTTACGTCTCTTTGCTAACGTCTCGAGTGGATGCTAGTCTTGCAAATTCTTGTGAAACCACCTACTTTAGGTACAAGGTGGTGGCTTAAGGAATACACGTGTGCTCACATCTTAGAGCACGCCTACTCAAACTTGGCTGCCTCTCCGCAACAAGGTCATCCCCTCATAAGGACGTGTGTTGCGCTCAACTTAACACTTGGCCGACACTTGTCTTGTTTTGAGTCCCGACTTTTCTGCTTGCAATTATTGACACTATTCCTCTAATGTAAATGGTTCTTTGAAAGACACCCGATTTGGTGTGTGATGTATTTATATAATAGAAGATTGGCTATTAATAATGGCCGTTTATAATTTTTTTTAAAGTTTTCATATATTTTCTTTTTGTATTGATTTGGATTAAAAGAATAAAGAAAGGTTGAAGGAATAATAATAATTAAAAAAAATACTAAAAAAGAATAATTGGAAAATTTAAAAATTAACATTTTTTAGTCGTTTTCGTTCTTTAATAAATAGAAAACATGAATAAATTTGGTTGTCCTTGCTGAAACAAAAATATATATAAATAATAAAGTTTTCAAAGAAAATATAAATATTGGTATAAATGATAAAGTTTTGGTGGGCCCGTTTTCTCAAAGTACATTTTTACCCTTCGGCCTACCTATACTAACTTTACGACTTGTCGTTAGTTTTGTCGCATCACAAATAAAATTTTCGCATTTCCATCGTTTTCTTTGACTTGTATATACAGAGCGACACCGACGAATTGTCGTAACGTAACTCACAAGCAACTAAAAAAAGTGGTTGCTAAAATGATTTGTTTTTTTATATATTTACAGAAATTCTTTTATTTCTCAGCTACAACTACCAAAATGCCCTTCCCTTAGATGAACCCGGTTCGATTGGCCCAGGCTAGAGTTAGGGAAGCCAGAACCGAAATAAGAAACTTAAACGACGTCGCTTTGAGAGTACGCTCTACGAGGAGGCGGCCTGGCAGCTAGCCAGGATGTTGGTTGGAGAGAAGTATACGGCGGAAGATGCTCGGGTGTGGATTAGCGCCGCCGTGGCAAACAATCGGAGTTGTTCGGATGGCGTGGAAGAGGTCGGCGCTGCGGCGAATGGGAATAACTTGACCGTGTTGCTGACCGAAGCGCTGCATTTATGAGATAAGATTGCTGACGTGGAGAACCGAATGGAAAGCACCTGCTCCCCACGTTGCATTTATCATTTGGTATTCCAACTTATTTATTTTTGTTTTATTTTGTTTTTTTAAATTACTTTTATACTTTCAATTTTATTTTTAAAATTTTAAAATTATAAATT